TATCCTCGAGGAGGCTTATGCATGTTGTGGCGTGTGACAGAATCTCCTTTTTAAAGCTGCGTAATATTCCGTCGTGTGGTGGACCACGTTTGGCTCATCCACTCACCTGTCGATGGACACCTGGGTCGCTTCCACCTTTTGGCTGTTACGCATAATGCTGTGGGTGTCCAGATGAACACGGGCACACAGATACCTCTTCGAGCTCCTGCTGTCTTTAGCCGCTCGGGCTGCTGTAACAAAATGCCACATACTGGGGGCTTACACACACTGTCACAGCCCCGGAGGCCGGAAGTCTGAGGCTGGCATGCCAGCGGAGGCAGGCTCTGGCGAGCACTCTCTTCCTGGCATGCAGACAGCCGACGTCTCACCGTGTCCTTGCACGGTGGGGAGAGAGCAGGCTCTCTGGTGTCTTCTTCTCGGATGCTGCTGTGTGTTCTTTTCCTACGTGTAACAACAATAATAGTATTATCCACAGCAGTAATAGTAGTATAGTGCCATTCGGGTTCCTGGACCCGATTCCAGTGTGTGTAAGGGTGTGGGGGGCGAGGTGGGGGAATCTTCCCACACATAGTTACACCAAGCAATTCTCAAGTGCCAGCAGGTTGTGTGAGAACTCAGTTCTGACGCTGTCTGCCCAGGGACAGCACCAGATTCCCAGGCTAAGGGCTCTGTCCTACAAGACTGCCCTCCACCCCCACTCCAGACGCAGGTCACGAGCCCCAGAGTTCCCTGTGCTCCTGACCTACCGGCTACAGATCGGAGGTTCCCATGACCTCCCCCTTAGGTTCGATTAATTTGCTGGAGTGGCTCACAGAACTCAGGAAAACACTTACTTTACCTGTGTAATAAAGGACACCGTAAAGGATACAAGAGACACAGGGCAAGGTCCCAAATACAGGAGCTTCTGCCCCCGTGGAGCAGGGGGCCGGGCTCAGTGGCACGTGGGGGCGTCCTGGTTCCCCGGGCATAGACGCTGTCTGACCAAGAAGCAGGGTGCAGGTGAGTGGGGCGGAGCGTGATAAGCTGTTCCCAGGGGTTTTGTGAGGGCTCTGTTGCATAGTCATGATTGACTAATTTATTGGCCATCAACTGATTCAGCCCCCAGCCCCTACCCCAGGGTGGGGGTCCAAAAATCTCATTAACATGACAGGACATCCATTTCACCTTTAAGACTCTGCAGTGTTTTCAGAACTGTGGATGAAGACCAGATATACCTGGGAAATATATATTTGGTCAGATGAATGACCAAATACATATTTCTCATGACTCGTATCGCAGAATCAGATGCTGCCATGGGGCCCACTTCCAGACACCATCACCCTGGGGGTTAGGGCTTCAACCTGTGAATTTGGGGGGACAGACATTTGGTCTGTAACACCCTACCCCCGACTCCCAGATTCTGTCTCTTTTGAGTGGAAAATGCATCCATTCCCCTGCAGTGCCTGAAAAGCCTTACCTCATTCCAGCCCCCAAGCCCGGAGCCCGCAGTGCTGGGTAAATACGGGCGACAGGTGTTCCCAAAGGGCGAAGTGAGAAGAGGGGTGATAGGCCCCAGGCAAGTCAGTACCCAGCAGGGCAAACTCATGGGATCCCAGGACGTGAGAAGAATCCCCTCTGGTAGGCCCTCGGGGGCAGTGGGATGCTCCCCTCAAGGCCTCAGGGGTTCTCCCGGACCTGTTGAAACCGAGGCGGCAACCTAATACTCTCGGAATGGCCTTTGGGGCTCTTCCCGTCTCTTCTGGAAGAAAGGCACGTGTTTGCAGCTGAATAGCTCTACTGTCTGGTCCTGTTGATCTCAAGAAACCCCACAGCCTTCCAACGTCTCACCCCGGCTCCCTGCCGTCCGTTCAAACCAGCGGTGTCTCTGCTCCTCAAGGCCCGTGAGCCCGTGTCCGTGCTGCCCAGCCACACCACTGGCCCCTCGGGACACGTTCCCAATGCCACGACAGGGACAGGCCGGGGACTTCCCAGGCCTTCCTGTTCTGGTTCCTCTTTGCTCGGATTCCCCCTTCCGTCCATTTCCGTCTCCTTGCCTTTCACCTGAAGCCCCTGAGAGGAGCCGGCCGCCCTTCCACATGCCCAGAAGCGGCCTCAGCCAAGCACCCGGTGTCATTGCTCACATTCCACCTTCACAGTCACCCTGGGCGCAAACAGTTGGCCCAGGGGAACGAGCCCGCCAGCCTCCAGGTGTCCCTAGCGCCTCTTTGTCCCCATCCGAGACTCATCAGGTGGCCCTTAGCACCGTGTTACCAGCTGCTCCCACCACCCCTCCCCAAACTGCTTCCGCGTGTCAGCGTTTGTCACAGAAGCCCCCAGTTCCAGCGCCCCTGTTAGTCGGTTGCCCAGAGAAACAGGCCAGGCGGATGTACACACGTGCACACATATCCATCTGTGTGAAGCTGTTTGTTATCGTGGAGGCTGAGAGGTCCAAGAGCTGAGGTCTTGGCAGGCTGGGGACCCAGGAGGGCCGAAGCCCCAGCCGGAGTCTGAAGGCTGGAAGGGACTCATTCCTGGCTCAGAAGGTTGGAGGGGCTCCCCCGCATTCGGCATTTGTGTTCTGGTCAGACCTTCAACTAGACTGGCTGAGGCCCACTGCCCTGAGGAGGCGGTCAGCTGCACTCGGCTGTGGGCTCCAATGGGGCTCTGGCCCAGAAACACCCTTCCTGACACCCCCAGATTCATGTTTAGCCAAATGTGTGGGCCCCATGGCCCAGTGCATTTGATACATGCAATTAACCATCCTACCTGCTTTTAATGCCCTTGGGTATATGCCCAGAAGTAGAATTGCTGGGTCACATGGTAATTCTATATTTAGTTTTTTGAGGAAACACAGCACTGTCCCCACGGTGGCTGCACCATTCTGTATTCCCACCAGCAGTGCCAAGGGCTCCTGTGTCTCCATGTCCTCACCAGCACCTGCTGCTCCCTTGGTGTTGCTAGTGGCCATCCTGGTGGGTGTGAGGGAGTTTTGCCTTTGAGGGTTTGGCTAAAAGACAAGGAATGACCCTGACCCACAGCCGTGAGACCTGGTACATGTTACATGTAACCCCATAGCCCACCCTTTTACGCTCCATTGCAAATGCCAGCAGACTAAGTTACCAGCTTCTCGGGGTCTGTGTAGACCTCCCACCTGGGCTCCTCATCTCTGTCCCTATTTCATTTGCAGGTCTGCAGTCTGAAGCCTGGGTCCCTGGCGGGCGGTCACCCTGCATGAGGCCGATGTAGCTCATTCCCCCTCATGGTTCAACCCTGCCTCTCTATCTGTAGAAACAGGGGCCAGGCCCTGAGATGGTCTTTGCCTCCCGCCCCGTACCTCCCTGGTGGAGATGGGCTGCCATAGTCCATCGTGACTGGCAAGCCAGAGAGGGCTGGAGTTTAGTGCGGGCTGCTTCTGGAGGCACGGAGTGTTAGGGGGTGCCCAAGAGTGGAAGTCAACATAGACAGAGGCCTGGGGCCGGTGAGTCTTTAGCATCACAGCCGTTAGCTTCCAGGCAGACCCGTTCCAGTCAGGGTTCCCCAGGGAAACAGAACGGGTTAGAGAGCTTTGTGTTGAAGACATTTCTTGTAAGGAGTTGGCTCCCATGATTGTGGGGATTGGCAGGCCCAAAACTCGGGCAGGAGTTGATGCCACTGTCTTGAGGCAGAATTTCTTCCTCTCCAGGAACGCTCAGGTTTTGCTCTGAAGGCCTCCAAATGGTTGGATAAGGCCCACCTACATCATCACCGAAAGTGAACTGACTAGGTGTGCATCTGCAGGCTGGCGCCTGAGTGCCTGGCCCGCTGGTTGGTGAGGACTGCCACCTCCAAGCCTAGGCCTCCCTTCTGCCGTGCTCTGCCTTGAGCCGTGTCCCCGCGGGCTCTGGTTCAGGCCTCCCGGGCCTCCCCAGGGCCTTTGGCTTCCCTGCCTGGCTGCCTCAGCATGCCAGGGATCACGTGGCTTTTTCATTTAGCCAACAGCTCTGCTCGAGTTGGAATCAACTCCTGGAGGTGTTGGTTTTAACACCCCACCACCTGGCCACATGCACCCATAGGTGGGATTTTTTCCTATGCACTGAAATCTGGCAGACGGCCCAAGGCTGCTTTGAGGGCACCCCTCTCCAGCTGCAGGGACTGGCTCAGGCCCGATCAGAGTGGAACCTGCAGGTGGGTGTGTCAGAACCAGCTGGACCTGGTGGGAGCGCAGGACACAGTCAGTCCGTGGGGGCTCCCAGGCTGGGGCCTCGTCGGCTCTCTGCTGCCGTACGGGTACTTCCTGCCGTGGGCCTTCCGGACGGAGGCTCTCTCCCATGTAGATTCTCAAGGAATGAGGGTCTCATCAAAGTAAAATGGCCAGTGCCTCTCAGCGGGGAGAGGGTGGCATTTGGCAATGTGGGAAGATGTGACTCCGTGCGGCTCTGAGGGCCCGTGGGTGTGGGGCTGCTGTTCTAGGAGTCATGACTGACCCTGCCATCGGCAGCAGGAATGGACCGTGACGGTGTAATGCCCGGTGAAATAATTCAGAGAAAGACATACTTACGCCCTCACTTATGTGTGGAATCTAAAAGAGCTCAGAACTAGGGATCAGGTTGGTGGTTACCGGAGGCCTAGGGTGGGGGTGGGGAATGAAGGCCAAAAGGTGTGGCCCCCCAGTTATAAGGTGACTAAGCCCTAGGGGCGCCGTGCTCTGCCTGGTGACCGCCATTACTCACGTGGTATATTTGGAAGTAGCTGAGAAAGCAGGTCCTGAAGGTTCTCATCACCGGGAAAATAATTTTTTCTAATTATAGGAGGAGATGGGCCTTAACCCCCATTGTAATCCCTTTGCAAGGTGGGCATGTGAAGTCATGCTGCACGCCTCCAATGGCCTGGGGGGTCATCACAGCTCAACGAAACAGGAAAAGGCTTATCTCTTATCGAAGTAGGGCTGGGACTGGACTCATTTTGCTTTCAGGCCATCGGCAGTGGGGAGGGCGCGTCGCTGTTCCGCATTTGACACCTTCACGTGATTTCTGCTCTTGCAGGTGGCGATCATAGCGGGCAACTTTGAACTGGCAGAATACATCAAGACCCACAAGGAGACAGACGTCGGTAAGTAGGCGCGCAGTGAGCCGCGGCGGGGCTCTGGTTGGCTGAGGACACACAGCTGGCTGTTTAAAATCCTCGTTAGATCCGTTCAGAGTCCGTTTTAGCAAAACTAAACAGAAAGCATAGTCCCAGCGACTTTTCCATCTCTGTTCTTGCATTTCCTCGACTCACAGCTGGGTTGAGGCTGAGGATGCCTTAGAAGTCAGGCAAGGAAACTGGCTACGCCGACTGCCGTGGGGGGCACTGCTGCCCAGCTAGGGCACTGGGTTAATTTGCAGCGACTTCAGGTGGGCGTGCTAGAATTCTGTGACATACGCACTTCCATTTAAACTCAGGGATGACGACTCCTTGAGGCAAAAGAGAGGCCAGGCAACCCCACCCCTTTCTTCTGCACCCGATCTGCTGATGATGACCATTCCCCTTTCTAGTACCCCTTGTGCCAGCCAGGAGGACCATCTATGGGGCTCCTCCTCTCTCCCATCGCCCTGCCGGTGGCTGGGCACAGTCCTGCATCTTGGAAGAGCCTGCTGGCCTGTGTCTCCCAGCCCCAGGCTTGCGCAGGACCAGCAGCGGGGAGCAGTCCCACTGGAGCAGCGGCGGTGAGCGTTTGAACATGGTGCTGTCCCATCCAGGGGAGGAGGTGGGGGGCTCTGAAGCGCCTGGAGGAGGAACCAGATGGTGGATGGCATCTGTGTCTGGCTGCCTGTGCCCTCACCCCATATTGGTTTGGGGGTGCGTGAAACCGTGCATTTGTCTGTCGAGTCTTCACTGTGTCAAATGTGTGGCTGGTACTCAGCCTGCGTCTGAGATTTGCACAAAGATGCAAAGCCGGATGCTTGGCTTGCATCGTCCAGCACCTGTGCTGAGCATCGGGGCCTCCCGAGGGCTGTGCCCAATGCAGGCAGTGTGCCCACTGTGAGCTAGGGCAAATCACTTCATTGCTCTGAGATGCAGGCCACGTTGGTACCTCCGTGAGCACATTGTAGAGATTGATGACTGGATGTCTGCAGCGTGATTTAGAAAATGAACTCCTCGTGCCGGGAGTGCCAGCAGCGCTGTGCCCACCGCCTCCCTGACGAGACAGCACAGCACAATAGGTAGGGCTGGCTTGAGGTCTAAAAATACCGGCCGTGAAGGGCATCCGGACTCTGTGAAGCAGGGCACAGCACGGAAGAGGTGAGGAGGCCCTAGCCCACGGCGGTGGGGATTGTTAGTGGCCCTGGAGCCCCTCGGATTTCTGAGTTGTCTGTGATGGTGACAGGTTGGGACTACCCTCGTTATCCTACCTGACCATTGGCCCTGACGGGGTGCCCACACAGCCTGGAGGGAGGTGGGTAATGGCTTCCTTGCCCCGGCTCTTGGGAGTGGTGCTGAGACCATGGGTGCTCCAGCCCCGCCCCCCAAGCCTTGGCCCCGTCCACCGAGAACAGGGGGACCAACCACTAAACCATCCTACTCAAAAGCTGCCGTGGTCCTGGAAGCACTGAGTTGGTTTGGAAACCCAGGTTGGGGGAGGTTTCTGTCTACTGTTTTGCATCTTGAGACATAATTAGCTTTCCTAGCTGGGACGCAAACACCTTTACAAACAGAGATGATTTTTCTTACCATCAAAGTGATATTGTTTGTTGGCTGAATATGCTTTAATCACGGCTCACCCCGTCTGAGCAGTGATTTATTTAAACTACAAAGAGCATATCCCGCTGAGATGTGGGCGCGCACCGTGCCTCGTGCGATCCGTAGTCCGCGGAGCTGGGACTGAGGTCCGAAGCCTTTCTTTCTGTGCTTTTGTAAACCCCCTGGGACTCAGTGAAGAGCAGGCTGGCTTTTACGGTCACCTGAGGTGGGGATTTGGTGTCTCCCATTCCCACAATGTGGGCTGCCCTGTTGTGCACCCCAAAGGGAAAGGATGTTACAGAACCCTTCCCCCGGGTCCTTTCAGCAGCTCCAGAGAAAGGGAAGAAGAGACTTTTCTTTCCTCTGAGTTGTCTAAGGATCTGTGGTTGCGAACTGGGCCACTTAAATTGACTCTGTTGAAGGTTTCCCAGAAGGGAGGGCATGGCCGCTGTGGGGCTTTGTGGGACCACACATCACTTGATGCATTGATTCATCGAAGCAGGGTAAATCCACTATAAAATCCCCATCCAGTGCCATGGGAACCAATAAACCTCTGGATTCGAGCCTAGTCACTGCTGTCTGCTCTGTGGCTGCCCCAGCCTTGTAACTGGCGGGGGCCCGATGCGGGCTGCGTGGTGGGGAGAGTCCGATCCTGTCCCTTCCCTTAGCGGTGCATTGATTGGCCTGCGTGGGTCTTGCCCATCATCTGAGAGAGCCCCCCGACTTCTTGGAGAACAAATAAGCACAGTGAGACAGCGAATGTGTGCCCCACATGCCTTCACCCCCTGTCCCAGCCCTGATGTGGTTATCGTCCCTTTTGCTGAGGAAGAACCTGATGCAGGACGTGGTGTCCAGGGGTGTCCCCCCAGAAGCAAACCTTGAGGCAGGGAGCCTGGGGCAGAGGGTTCGCTGTGGAGCGGATGCCGGGGAGGCCCAGCGGGAGGGCGGTGCAGGAAGTGGGGAGGACAGCCCGCCGGCTCAGGCGCACCAGCACGCAGGTGGCAGTGCGGCTCCCGAGGCCCAGCCCCACGGGGGGCCTCTGCGGGGCTGTGGGAGCACGCCTTGGTGTCGTCCCACCCACGCGCCAGGCGGTCTGTGCGTTTATCCACCGGTCAAGCTCCTCCATAGGGAAGGCCCGCTCTGTACAAGCTGCTTCCTGGGCCAAGAAAAACCCGCCTCGGGGGGGGACTGGTGCCTGGGGGGGCAAGCGGCATGCGTGCGCAGGAGCACGGAGAGCCAAGGGCATGCGGCAGGGCACCCATGGTGTCTCCTATGCGGGATGCCCCCAGATCGTGTACCAGGGCAATTGGCTGAGCGAGGCCCTGAACCTGGTTCATCGAGCCTGCAGCACTCTGTCGCCTTGACCGCCGTGCTCCGCCGCCTCTGCCGTGAGGTGAGAGGGGCATGCCACCACTCGGGCACTCTGCGGGCACCCGTGCAGGCTGCCAGGGAGGCCGGGGCCTGGAGGGAAGGAGGGGGTGCTGACCCCTGACAGGGTGGCCCCTCCCCGCAGAGGGGGGCTTGCTCCTCTCCGCCTCCTGGTCCAGGCTCCATCACCCAGTGGCCCCCAGTTAAGCATTTCCCCAGCAGGGGCCAGCTCAGCTCCCCAGATGGCTTGGGGATGAGGGGCTGTGGTGGGTGTAGCTGCACCCGTAGCCATGGAGGCCAAGCGCCAACAGACCAAGGGCTACGGTGTGGGGCCCACAGGCAGCAGCCCTGCCCGGCCAGAAGGCAGTCAGTCCCCGGAGAAGGGAGGGTGCTTGGCAGCGCCCGGGCCTCTCACCAGCCGTGTGTCAGCTGCTTGTCCTCCATTCAGGAGGGTTGGGTATCAGCCTGCAGCTCCTTCCAGCCCTACCCGCGTCCTCACCTGTGGAGCCCGGAGTTTTCTCTCTTGGACTGACTCCCCCATGACTTCCACATTCAGTCTCAACATTTCAGAGAGAAACATCTTCCCTGGCTCGTGTCAGCCACTGTGAACTGTTCAAGGCATTGGCATGATCCTTCCCTGCAGGGCGTCTGGGAGGACAGGAGGATGGGGGTGCAGCCTGGTGGGCAGGCGGGAGAGAGGCGGACAGGCTTCCCAGGTGCAGAGTCTCCTCCGTGGGGTCACCAAGGAGGAGAGACCCGACTGAGACCCGTGAGGTTGTCAGAACCCCAGCAGAACTGCCCCTGGCTGCCAGGCTCGAGGAGAACTCGTACACCCTGACAAGAGCGTCTGCTGCTTGCCTCTGGGGGCTGGGGGATGACCTTTCTCCCTCTAGGCTTAAAACCCCATGCTGCGCTTGAGCATCCGCAGAAAGCCGCCAGGGGCACCTGAACCAGCGGGTGCCTGAGATGCCAGCACGTCACCCCCACGGTCGCTGTCTTTCCACCAGGACTCCTCACCTAGCACCTTCTCCCAGGGGCCCCATGTGCATCTGGGGACTTGGGACCATTGGTCTGTCCCAGGCCGGGCCCCTTAGGAGGCAGTGACCACAGAGGCTAGTGTCCTCCTTGTCTCCCTGACCCTGGGTTTGGGAGTGGTGTTAAAAGGACTATAGATCCTTGCACCTCCCAGATCAGGGCGGCTCCTAATCCATCACTGTGTCTTGGGAGAGTGGAACGTGACTTTCGGAAAAATAGACTCTTCTGTGTGCGTCGCCTCTTTGATTGTTGCTGCCCACCTCCCCCATTCTGGCCCCTAGTCACCCCGCTGCTGCTTCAGCCCTCCTTCCCACGCCCTAGGGAGTCTCTTGTGTTGCTGGCAGTTGATCATGACAGAGACCCGTCCTGTCCTGCACCTGACTATTCTTGACTTGCAGGTGGGGATCCTCCAGGGTGCCCTGGTGAGCGCCAGGCTTGGGGTGTGCCTGGGGGGGCTTGCATAGAGCAGAGATGCCCAGCGCCACCACCTCCGAGGGCGTCATCCCCCAGAGGGCCTGACTTGGTCGGCTCGGGGTGATTGCTGTTGTATATTCCTCCGGCGTCCTGACACCAGACACCCAAGCCCAGCCCCACCTCTGCTCACTAGCAGAGTCTGTTTGCCAGGCAGCCAGCGGGGCAGGGACACCGTTTCGGAGAGCCCAGCCCCACCTGTCAGGATTCTGAGCACAGAGGGAATGAAGGTGAGGCTCATCTCTGCCAAGACGCACTGGGTTGCATTGCCAAGCACAGATGCGGAGGGAGGACCCCCAGCTTCCACGTTGGGGGTGGGCGTGGGCGTCGGTTTTGATGCTCTAGAATGGGTAAGCTGAAGCACTGACCATTTCCCTGGTTTTTCACGTGCGGCCGTGATGGTGGGATACCTTCCTAAAGTCCCTTTAAAAGCTCAAATAGCCTCTCTCTCGGCGGGATGGACCTCTGTTTTCCAGACAAGGAAGCACACCACCAAGGAACCGGGGTGCTTAAGAAGCCCCGATGGTCTTTGTGGGGAGCAGTAAACACGCCGAGGCACAGCAGAGTGATAGGGGCCCTCGGAGACAGGGAGCATCTGCAGGGACGCCTGGCATGCCGTGCAGACACACTTCTGTGCCTTTAAAGGGAAGATTCCATCTTGTCGTGAAATGTTCTGTTCACAACGTGGTCAGTGTGGGTGTAGCTGCTAAGGGAGACGCTGTGCCTTTTTTTTTTTTTTTTTCTGATAGCTCCCTTTCTCTTTAAAATATTAAATGTGACCTCCATTTGGCTATTTTATGGGCCATCTCAGAGAAAGCGATGGTTTAAAAGCGCCCTTGAATACCCAAGTTAATCCTCGTTGTCATCCAGTATTTAGCTGTGGCTGAGTACACAAGCCCAGAGGGTCTTAAAAGCTTTTACTGTAGGGCGTTCACAATGGTTTCTGTAGGGTGGAGGTCCCCCAAATCACAGTTGTCAGGGGGCTGGGGAGCTCGCGTCCGAAGTGGTCATGCAAACATTAAGCATGTTGCAAGCTGACACGCTTCGGACTGGGATAACCTGTTTTTTGCGGTCTTTGTTATTTTTGGCTTTGCCTGGCTTTGTGGGGAGA